GCCTAAATTCTCATCAGGGTTATTAAAATTGATTGAAACTAAAATCATTAAAAAATTATTAATTACTGATAAACATTAACTAAAATAAACGAACTAAAACATTTAAAATAAATTTAACATTTAATAAAACATTTAAAATACATTTTATTCATTTATTTATTTCATCTAGTTGCCAAGATGACAGTATACTTCATGGTAAATAAATACAATTTTAAATAAAAAAAATATTTACTGCAATATTGAAGCAATAATAATCACTCTCAAAATAAATACTTTTTCTTAAAAAAAGAAATATAGTAACAGGAATTTAGATTGCAATATGCATAACTGTCATTTAAATTATTAAACTTTGTTTACTTTATGCAACATTTTTTGCTTTTGTTTTGTTTTTTGGGGGGGGGGGGAATGCAATGCATTTTCGTAAGGCTCACCCTTTAGAAGTGTTTGAATTTGATGTACTCGTAATGCGCAAATGCAAATGGAAAAAACGTACTTGAGTGAGATCACTCACGCTAATTCAGCACTGACTAGAACAAAAAGAGATGTGTTTTTTATTGAAAAACAGATCCGCATTTCAGGAATGTAATGAGTTTCCAACAGAGCTTAATCACATGTTGACATTTGTGCTAGTTAAAGGGTATTGCGCTTCCCGTTTCTCTGCTGTCAAACCATTTTGTCATTCCTAATTTTGGGAGCATGGCTTGCATTGACAGGCAGGTATTTACTCGTGTTTAACCCCATCTACCCTTGACTGACTGTTTCATAACTACAAGGCCCCTCTGTCCACACAAATATGGCTTCAGCTCCCAGAGGCCCGTGTTTTCATGCTTGCATTACAAACAATTACACACATCCATCAGCCATTCCCACCCCCACCAATGTATCTTGTCCTTCCCCCGCCTCTTCCTCCAACCCGTTCCCCTCCGTCAGCTGGGAATCTACCCCCGATCCTAACAGATGTCCCCTGATTTGGGTGAAATGACAACAAAAGGCCGGGCTCTGAAAAAGCCATGGCTTTCCCATCTTGCCCCGAGCTTTCTGCTCCCACACAAAGGCCAGCGGATTAGCAGCTTTTAGCACATGAAAAAGCCCCTCATCCTGAAAACTGCCCCCTTAACTGGGCCCTGAGGTTTCTATAGGGTCACTATAAACCCCTTCAACTCTACTTGGTCCCAAACAAAATCTACCGAACCAGCATTCTGTCTTTGCCCCAACAAATTCCTACGCTTCACCAAGCAAGACCCCTGATAACCATCTTAAACCAGCACACATCACTAAACTAGTACCATGACATTTGGAAAGTGGGATATCTAAGATATTCAAGAGGAATCTACCTTGGATTCATGGGCTTTATTGTTTTGGTTCCACTTAATGACTTAAAGGTATTTTGAAGGAGTCCAATTGGAGTCGCCCCAGAGAAAGGTCATAACCACTCCAAGTCTATCAAACAAAGATTCAACCCTTTAATCTGGTTCATTGAGGTCTGTTAACTATCGAGCCAAAGTGGAGAATAAGTAGACCAATCACAGATGGCATCTTGACCTCCAGCCATGGAGAACAGGGTGGGGACGGGTCTCCACAAACCTCCGAGGGGTCATAACTCAGATTGAAGCCAAGGTTGGGGCGTGTTTATGACAGATCTGTATTGTCTAAATGTCCCAAGCTGGGCGTGACGCCCGTCAACCTGGAGTGCCAGCTGGTCATCATACTTAAAGAGCAGAAAGCAGAAAAATCACCATGGTGGGGGTAAACAACAAGTGCCCCCAATAAAACAGCCAAACATATCGAGGCCAGTGGGAGGGGTAGAGGTTGGGTGGCGGGTGTAGCGTGGATATAACGCCCTCCTACCGTAATGAACACATTATCACAGTGGCATCAGAGCAAGCGGAGCATATCATTGGTTCGAAATCCAGTCTTGCGGCGAGGGCTTTAAGCTTAGGGAGCGTGGGGAGAAGGTAGTAGCTTTTGGCCTTATCAGCACCGCCGCAGTACTGAGAGCCCAGAGACCGGACGATCAGTCCTGCAGCGTCACGTAGGCAACTGGCCAAGCATGAGATGAAATTAAACTTTGAGCGAGATGGATCAATTCCGTCAGCAGGGGCGGGTTTGCTTGGCATCTTATCTTGGATTTGCCACTAACCTGTTGGACAGAATGGACAACATAGGCCGGAGAGTTAATATAATTTACCAGCAGAGGCTATTCCTCATTTTCAACAAGGCTTGTCATGGACAATGTAGCGATTTACTCGGGAACTCGTCTGAACAAGTGCTTGATAATTCCGCCAGACTGACCGGTTGTCCCTTGGGTCATAGCGTAAGGCGGCAACCATGGCTTGAACAGAGAGGCCTCGTCTCCTTCTGCCTGGATGTGCATGTGGATGCATGCGACGGTAGCATTAAGACCAGAAGAGCTCGTTTCAAAGACAGTGCACTCGTTCTTTTATAACCACCAGACAAATTGCACCCACCGTGAGCTGAAGAGCACCGATTTAGCACTCGGGACAAATTAAGAGGAATAAACACAATTAGCTGGCAGAGCTTTGGCGCGGGCGAACATCTCTCTTCCCCTCCCTTTTCTGCTGATAATGTGAGGCGCTGCAGCGCAGCTGCCATTACCGCCACCACTGCATCTGCCATTCAAAACCCAAGCTGATAATTGCACTGCTCTCCCTGTTACACAAACTCGCCTAATTTTATCTACGACTACGATCACGTTGGCACACACAGGTTACAATAACCATCGTGAAAGGGAGCTTTTTGTATAATTGTTGTTTTGATATTTCTGCCACTCCATTAGCATTTCCTGCGCTAACAAGGCTGTGCGGAACATTATTCAATAAAATGGTACTTTAGCAAGTGCTATAAGATCTCTAATGCTAAAAGAAAACTAAATCCAAGAGAGAGATGCTGCTCATTAAAGCATGGCACACTTTATATTTAGAGTGATCATTAGCAACTCTAGCTCACAAAAACAAGAGGGCTAAATCTGTAACGCAAGCGAATGCAAGAGCGCTGCCCTTATCTTCTCTCTGAAGTCAGGAGAATATTTATTTTGGCATAGCGTAGTCAGAATCTCTCTGAGGCATTGTCCTTTGATCCCTGTTTAAAATGGGGGAAAAAGGTTACAGCGATAAGTGTAGGAAAACACAAAAAATGACACCAGTAGGAATAACTTCGCGGAAATGAATTTCAAAACCTTGGGGAAGACACCTTACAAAAGACATTTCACCAGAACTCATATCCTCAGCTCAATTCAATTAACTTTTCGACCAGAGGTGACACAGAGTGCACACGGGAAATCAAAGTTAGTTCGGCAAACGAAGTTTTTACATCCGCTAAAAAATTCCTTCATTCTAACACCACCCGACTTCATTGATTTCTTGTTTGTTATTGCTTAGCTGCAAAAGAAAAATGAGCGAAACTACAGGTCTATAGACCACAGTCACGGCTAACTGCTTCTGTTTGGCTGCATTCCTACGCATTTGTCTTAACATCTCTCAAGATCTGACAGTGATCAGCTATGATAAATCGTCCAATTATAGTGACATTTAGAAACTAAAGCACACTTGTGAATTTGCAAGTTGCAACACAGAACAAAGACTGCGAAAACAAACACTTTTAGCCATTAATGCTTAAAAAGCTGGTACGTATTTCATGAAAGGATCAATGATTGCTGTCCCTTTTCGAGTAGCTCCTAGAGTAGATCTTTGCCATCAAACTTATTGGATGAGATGTCAACAAAGTCTAAATCTAAATTTCTTGGAGATCAAAGCGAACTATTAAGCCGAACTTTTCTCAAAAGCAGAACCAGAGCGCTTCAATCCAGACTCATTTTGATACGGGGTCCCTGAAGTCACATTAAAGTGATTAATGACCCCTGCATTATCTGTGACTAAACGAATCAAGACAATACCTGCACTATGCTTTCCTGCTTCAGTCTCGCTCAAACCTTTACTATATGAACGCATATACTTTCAAATGAAAGTAAACTGCTATATTCAGCAGGCCATGGCACAACTTAGCTGAAAGAAAGCATAACTTATAGACAAGCATGTATCTGCCAGAAAAAAGGGAGAAAATCCTCAGTATAATAACTTTGCGAGAAAGACACTTGGTGAATAGAATCAATATTCTCTACAGTAATGACTTTTTCACGCTTTCTATTCAAAACCATAATGCAAAAATGTGTAATATATTATTTTCTACTCTATAAACTCCGCATTTGCAGCAAATGTCAATGAGACCATTACTTTAAACCTCCAGAAAGTGACTTTCCAATTTTCCTTATTATCTGGGTTTGACTTTACTGTCTTTGTCTTCAAATTCTCAGAGACCTTGAAAAACATTAGTAGCCATTTTACAAAATAAACCTTGTTTTCTTTTGAAACTCACAGTGCATTCCCGTAACTCAACCAAAAGCCCATTTCACAGATATTAATAAAGCATTAACCCTCTACTGCACCACAAAGCAAGCATACACTTTTCAAAAAATGAGACAACTACTGATTGGGGTCATGCTTCAAGACCAAAAAAATTACAATAAAACAAATCCAAACTGCCAAAAGTGAACAGAAACAATGTGACCATTCAATGCATTCCCTCATATTTTTAAACTCCTAGGGAACTCAAACAGAAGAAATGCAACATTTCAAACGTCCTCTATGAAAAATGTTATCAAATTAGTTTATAATCACTCCTCATGAGAACTGGAAAACTTTTTAAGCTAATGAAAGTGTCACAAAAACCCCATGCAGAACATGAGGAATACAACACAGCCTAACAAGCCATATCAAAACCGTTATTACTACAACTTATTTCGCCAAAAACTGCATATAACGCACAAAAACATTTCGATAGACACAATGGGATTATATAGATACAATGAAATCAAGCATTTTACCAATGAAACCTCTAAATAATTATATCTATCATTTTAATTAATTATAATAAATGTAATTATTTTACGTTTTAAATTGGCCATTTAAAAATCGTTTACTTACAATAGTTCCACGCGTGTACAAGTAACTTTATTTCGGATCGATGCAGATGCGGTACGACCATATAACTCCTCTTAAAGCGTCCTATGTTGCATCCATGTAAAACAGGAGGAAAAAAATCCAAATAACTCCTTGGATACGCGAAGTTTTCAACCGGAGTAAACAGTTCTCCGTGCCATGTCGACGGTGTCCGTGCGTAAACTCTCCAAGAGCGCACGAAACTCCGCGCTTCAAAACGAGCTTTAAATGTCGGTCGATAGTCTGTCCACCGCGTCCCAGAGCTGGATCGGATTCCTTTCATTCAGGTCCCGGACTTCGACTGGGGGTAGGGGCAGTTTGGCAGGGGCTTTTTAGCCCCCCTCCCGCGCACCCTCCCCAAAAACAGCGAAGCAGGCGGGGGGAGGCCTCTTCGCGCTCACGTCACCAATCCGTAGTGAATGTGCGCGCACAGATGAGCTGCTCTGTCATTTGAAACCCCCTCACTAAAACCATCCCACCTCCAAAATAAGAAGACACGGGAGGGAATAAACTGCCCCTAAACCGGTTAATTTAGCCAATTTGTTTTACAAGCGTACATATTCGCCCGTATGAAAAGAATGTTCTTGCACAGTAACCATAGTTTGATATTTATAGAAAACAACTACAGCTAACACTTACTTAAATTAAGGTTTTACTACAAATACCCCCCCCCCC